AGATGCACAGCAGCAGCAGCAGCAGCAGCAAGACAGCAGCAGCAGCAGCAGCAGCAGCAGCAGCAGGGTGGCGGGGACAACACACATACTACACCCTGCTGGGCTTGTAAGAAGAGACCTGCAGCAGCTGCCTGCTGTTGTCTATGATGAGAGCAGCCTGCGGCTGCACCTCGAGCCTGGTGCTGCTGCCTTCATCAGCAGCAGCTGTCTCTTTGTCTCCTCCACAGACGGCAGACCCGCACTCGCACACCTAGTACGCCTCCTGCTGCTCCTGCTGCTGCTGCTGCTGCTGCTGCTGCTGCTGCGTAGGGTGTTCGTGCTTCTGCTGCTGCTGCTGTTGCTGCTGCGTGCGCTGTTTTTGCTGCTGCTGCTGCTGGTGCTGCTGCGTGTGGTGTTCTTGCTGCTGCTGCTGCTGGTGCTGCTTACATAGCTTGTGCTGCTTGTGCTGCTCTTGCTGCTGCCGCTGCTGCTGTTTTGGGGCGTTGAGGAGCTGCTGCTGGGTGCAGCGCTTTTGTTGTTGCTGCTGCTGCTGCAACAGTGGTGTTGCTTCTGCAGCAGAGTCGTTGTTGCTGTTGCTGCTGCTGCAGCAGTTGGTATCTTAGTGTAGGCGTAGAGAGACCCGGGCTGCAACCCGTTGTGCTAGCTCAGCAGCAGCAGCAGCAGCAACAGCAGCAGCAACAGCAGAAGCAACAGCAGCAGCAACAGCAGCAGCAGCAGCAGCAACAGCAGCAGCGGCAGCAGCTATTTCATGTATCTATTTTTGTGTTATGGANTTTTTTTTTTTTTTTTTTTTTTTTTTTTTTTTTTTTTTTTAGGTTGTCTCTGCTAGTCTGGGAGTAACAGACCTGGTGTGGACTGCGGTGGATGTGGCGGACCCTTTGGGGGGCCCCTCTGCTGCTCTGCTGCTGGGGGCCCCTGCTGCAGCAGCAGAATACACAAACCATCTGCTGCTGCCGCGCTCAGACTCTATAGCCGTATGGCCGTTGCAGACAGAACCCAATGAGGTACGCTGCTGCTGCTGCTGCTGCTGCTGCTGCTGCTACGGATCCTGCTGCTGCTGCTGCTGCTCCTCTTGCTGCTGCTCCTTCTCGTGTTATTCATGTGCGTGGTGTGCTGCTGCTGCTGGGGTGGCGTCCCTGCGGTTGCTGCTACTATTGCTGCTGCTGCAACCGCTCAGCAGACGGCTTCTGCTGCTTGTTGCTGCTTGTTGTTGCTGCTGCTGCTTGGTGCTGCTTGTTGTCGCTGCTGCTGCTGCACCAGTGGTTCGCCGTTGCTTCTGCGTGTGCTGCTTCAGGCCGTACCCGCGGACGAGGGGGGCGTTGGGGCCTCTAATGGCAGCAGCAGCAGCAGCAGGAGCAGGAGCAGCAGCAGCAAGAGCAGCAGCAGCAGGTATCTGGTGGCGTTTGGTGGCCGAGCAAGAGAGGGTACTGGGGTGTGTCTAGCTGTTGCAGAGCCGCAGCTGCTGCTGCCCCCGCGGAGGCCCTGGGGGGGCCCCCCGGGGGCCTCGCGGGACCTTCACTGGGGGGTGTCTCCGCTGCTATCTACAGAGGAGACAGCAACGGGTACAGCATGTTTGGAGTTTTGCTGCAGCCAGGTGCCAGAGCTGCAGCAACAGGGTAGAGTATCTCAGCTGCAGCAGCAGATGCAGCAGCAGCTGCAGCAGCAGCAGCAGCAGCAAGAATTGTTTACTACTGATGGTAAACAGCTGCTGGAGATACACCCCGATGGCTCTGTAGATATTGCCTATCAAAGGGCCCCCATATTAAGGTACGAAGAAATGCAGGAGGATGAGGGGCCCCTCCTAGAGTCATCTCCTCTTGGTTATATTCGTTGGCTTAAACACAAGTGCAAAGCAGCAGCAGCAGCAGCAGCAGAAGCAGCAGCAGCA